GGGGGGTTCTTAGGGTGCAGGGAGACCCTCCCCAGGGCCCAGAGCTCCGTGCATGGCGGACCTTGTTGGCAACGAGGGCCCAAACTGGGGCACGGATGCCTGTTTGGGGGCTGTTTGTCAGGCCGTTTTCCAAAACGTGCGCACCAGAAACCGGAAGTGCAGCTGGTGATGGCGCATCTGCGTCCCGAGGGGGCTCTGGGTGCCATCACAGCCACAGCTGCTTCCCCCTTGCTCGGGAAGGACCTCGGCGCTCCCGCGCTGCTTCCCTCTGGGCCTCGCCGGAAGAGACCCCCTCCCACCAATGTGGCTGGATGCAACGGGGATCCCCGCCCAGCAAGCGTGCCAGCAAACAGCAGGGGGCCTGCTGGGGGACCCCCCCCCCCCCCCAAAATGGCTTCCAGACATGGGGGCAGCCGCTTTCAACCTCCGCCCGGCGTCCAGCGCAGGAGCCGGCAACGGGCAACCCCACAATCTGGACCCTGGGTTGTGTGGACGAGGGATCGGGTGGAGCCCCTCGGCTGAGCTCCAGGCCCCGGGGGCCCCGCTTGGAGGGAAGAGGACCCCTGGGGGCTTCCCCACTCCCCCCCCCCCCCGGTCGAGGGCCAGTTCAGATATCCGCAGGCCGCAGCTGCCGCTCGCCCTCAGCCAGGAAGATCCGCAGAGCTCGGTGCAGGAGGAAGACCCCCAGGCTCCGCCGGCGTTTCATGGGCCAGGCGGCCACCGAGCCGTAATAGTTGCCCTTCTTCTGATTGGTCAGCCTCCTCAGACCTGGGGAGGGAGGGGGGACAACAAGAGAGAAAGGACTGGCAATCACACCACACACCTGTCCCCCCCCGCCCCCGGGCTGGGAATCCCCTTGGAGAACCTCCCAACTGCCACCCTCCCTAGATAGAGGGGGGTTTAGGGAAGATGCCAATGCCGGCGGGGGGGGGGGCCTTTGGGGAAAATCCCCCCCCCCCCCAGGGGTCTCAGGACAGGGCTGGGAAAGGCTGGGGGAGGAAGCAGCTGCGGCCCAATGCAGAAAGAAAATGCATGAAACTCCCTCCTGCGTTAGGACGGGGGTGGGTGGGTGGGAGGGAAGGGGGGGCACTAGGACCGGGGTCTCCAACCTGAGCCCCTTTATGATGAACGGACTTCAACTCCCAGAATTCCTCAGCCAGCCATGCTGGGAGTTGAAGTCCACCACTTGGATAAAGTGGCCACGGTGGCCTGGCTGGCCGGGAGATTCTGGGAGCTGAAATCCAAGGAAGGAGATTCCCCCCCCCCCCCCCCCCCCCCGCCCTACCCCCCCCCCCCCCCAGCCCAGGGGGCCCCCCCCCCCCCCGAGCCCTTACCGATGGCGTCCACCATGCAGGCCTCGCGGGTGTAGGCCTCCACAGGAACCACGTTCTGGAAGCAGTGCATGGAGACGACCCCCTGGCCCCCGGCCCAAATCTCCAGGATGTGCCGGACTTTGGAGGAGACCTGCAGGGGGGGGGACCCTGATGAAAGGGGGGAGGAGCAGAAGCCGAGATGGACAGAACAAAGCCCCACCCACCTCTGGGGCCAAATCCAGGCTGCTTTGGGGGGGGGGGGCACTGCAGCCTCCCACTCCCAGGAATTGTGCCTGGGGGAGGGTGGCAATTCTGGGGTTTGCTACCTAACCCCCCACTTGTGGAGGGGCCAGAACGGCCCCCGACAGAGCAGGCGGTCAAAGGTCAATCCATGGGGGGTCAAAGCTAGACTACCCCTGAATTTGGAAGGTCCACTCTTAGCGGAGGAGACGAAGGTCCCAGAGCTGTACCTGCGTTGCCGGTGCCCCCTGGCCCTCCTGGTAGTGGCTCAAGGCCTCGTAGAGATGGCGGTAGGGCCGGCCGCGCGTCCCCTTGCCCACGTAGAAGACGGCCTGGACGAAGGTCTGGAAGGCCTGGGCTGGGCTGAGCAGCTGGCAGCGGGCAGGCAGGTTCTGGGTCACCCTGCGGAAGAGCAGAGCCACGAGACCATCAGCCACAGCGGGGCTCTCCCTGCAGCCCCCAAAGCTGGGCCAGGCACTCCGGCCCAGGCAGCCATGGCCCCCTCCCCCCCCCCCCCCCCGAGGGCCGCCTACCTGGGGTCCAGCAGCAGGTAGTTGAAGCTGGACTTCAGCAGCCCCTCCCGCCACCTCCGGGTCTTGTCCGGCTGGTCAAACTCCGCGGCCAGAGCCATCTCGTCGGCTTGGGAGGGGGGGATCCAGTAGGTGTGCAGGGCAGAGGTCAGCTCGGGGCTGTAGGCTGAGTACAAGAGGGGGGGGGCAAGTCCAGGACCCCCGGAAGGAGCTGGGTCCTCCGGAGGGGATCTGGCGGGTCCAATGCCCCCCCGCCCACCTTGTTCAGGACTTCTCCGGAAGAGGGTCAAAGGCGGGGACCCCCCTCCTGCTCCCTCAAGGCCAGGCACTCTCCCCTTGCACCCGGGACATCGGCCCTCCCAGAGCGCCTCCTCCCCCCCTCCCCCCCCCCCCCCCAAACCCCCCTTCAAGCCCCGCCCCCCCCCCCCGAGGCACCCACCTGCAGGGCCCTTCCGGCCGGGGGTCTCGGCAGTCTCCCTGCTCAGCCTCTCCAAGAGCCTCACGTAGAGCCCCCGAGTGAGGGGCGTCACTGGTCCCGGGTCAGCCCCCAACTGGCGCAGCTTGAGGACCAGAGCTCGGTCGGTCAGGTGCTCCGGGTTCAAGGGGGCGCCTGCCCCGCTGCCCCCCGCTTCCTGCCAGTCGCCCGCCAGGCTGCCCTGGGAGCTGCTGGGCCCGGAGTCATCGGTGGGGGGCAGGTGCCGCTCAATGAGGCTCTGGCCGCCTTCCTCGTCCACGTACAGGTGTTCCACGGGCTCTGTGGTGCTCAGGGGCGCAGGCCGGCCCCCCGGGGACAGGGGCACCTCCTGGCGGGGGGGGCTCAGCCTTCCTGGGGGGCCAGGGGCAGGCGGGCCCCTCCCAGACAGCCGGCTGAAACTGACCCGGGAGGCCGCCTCTGCCCGCTGGCCCAGAGACCCTTGGGCACCCAGGCTCTCAGGGGGGGGGTGAGCAGCGCCTCCTCCCGCAGGGGGACTTCCGGCCCCTGACTGGGTCCCTCCGCCAATGCCTCCCCTGGCGCTGGTGAGGGGGCAGCCCAAAGAGCAGGGTCCTGGGTTCAAGGGCGGCTTCCTGGTGGTGGGAGGAGGCGAGGGGGCCCTGCCCTCCCCCGTCTCCTCTGCCTCTCTGGCCGGGGGAGGCCACTGGCTGAGAGCCGCAGCCCCTCCTCGGGGTGAGGCTGGTCCGGGGCCCCTCCTGGGCACCTCCAGGGGCTCCTCAAAGAGAGAGGCGGCACTGAGGCTCTGCTGGGGAAGGGTCCCCATCGGGGGGCTCTGGGGCCAGGTGGGCCCAGGGCAGCACTTCCGGCACAAGGGGAGGAGTGGGGAGTGGCCGACCTTGGTGGCCAGCCTCATCGACCGCAGCTGGGCCTCCAGAGTGCTGGGGGGCTCTTCTCCAACACAGGCAGGCGGGCACGGGGCCCCCTCCGTGGTGCTGCTCGGCCCAGGCGGACCCCCGCAGCCACGGAGGCCACGCCCCTCTTCTGCCCTCCACCGCACAGGGAGGGGGTCTTCGGTGGACGAGCCCGGCTGCCCCTCTCCTGCCTGCTGGGGGCTGGTGGGGAGAGCCAATGGTGGCCGACTCCATCTTGGGCCCGCCTCCGCCAGCTCTTCCCCCCCTGCTGCAGAGGGGACCGGCCCCTGGCCTTCCACGGGCAGCCCCCCAGTCTCCGTGGGGGGCCCAGTCACCAACACAGGCCCTTCCCAAGGAGCCTCGTTCTCTGGGGGGGCCACCCTTTCCCTCCCCTGTGAAACCTCCCACGAGTTGTTGCTGGGGGCCAGAGCCAAATCTTGACTCCCGGGAAAGATCTGGGCCTCCCCTCTTTTGGGGAGAATCCTCTGGCCACCGAGACCCCTCCCCAGGCAGGCTGGAGGCCCACGACCCGACCCTCCGTGGCTGGTGTGGCAGCCGCCTGCAGGGCCGCTAGAGGCAGCCTCCCTGCCTTCCCACGCCTGAAGGCAGCCGTGTCCCAGCTCCTCCACAGCGCTGGTGTAACATTCACTAACGCAGGAAAGGTACCGGTCAGTGCTGGCGGCTGAGCACCGGCCTGGAGACCTTCCTCTTGCCGAGCAGCCGTCCAGAGTCCCGCTGACCCCCAGGACAGAGGCCAGGCCAACCACCTCCTTTCCAACGTCCGACATGGCGGTGGACTCGGCCAGGTGATCACGGCAGGTGACGTCCAGCCCATCCTGGCTTGGGAGCCTCTCCAAGAGGCCGGGATCCAGGGAGCCACACCCCTGAGAAAGGCCACACCCCTTGGCCTCCTGCGGGCGAAAGAGTTGGGCCGCTTCTGGCTCAGGGCTGAGGCTGGCAGAGGGCTGGGCCTTCCGTGGGGATCCTGCGGCGCCTGGCGTGTCCGGTCTGACCGAGGGAGCCTCGGGGCCCACTGAAGAGAGCGCAGCCGTGCCTGGGCCCAGGGGGGAGCGGCCCCCTCCCTCTGCAGAGGCCTGGATGTCCCAAGGCTGCTCCACACCCGCCCCTGACAGAGAGCGCCCCCCGTCGCCCCCCCAGCGGGTCCCTGCATTGGCACGGCTGGAGGGCAGGGTCCCAGGGGAGGGGAAGCCATTGGGGGCCTCCACCGGCCAGACGCCGAAGTCAGCCAGACCCAAAATTGTGTCGCCCTGCCAGGAGCCCTCGGTGAGAAAGGAAGAGGGCGAGCGGTCCTGGGTGCAAGGCCCGGGCCCACCGTTTGGAGGGAAGGTCCCAGGTGGCTCCCCGTGCTGACGAGCCTCCTTCCAGGAGGAGGGTCTATCTGATGGAGAAGGGAGAGAGTCGCCCGGCCCAGTGGCCCCAGCATCTTCCATTATGGTGGACAGGAAGCTCTCCAGTCTCCGCTGAGCTGCATCAAAGATTTGGGGTGGGGTGGGGGCAGAATATTTGAAGCCTTTGGTTAAGATTATGTTCGGCAGCCCCAAAGGGGCTTTTTCAAGAGGCAACTGGACCTTCTTTGTTTTTCCTTGAAGAGGTTTCACTTCTCATCCAAGGAGCTTCTTCAGTTCTGGGGGAATGGTGGGAGGTGGGAGGATTGATATTCCTTGCAGTCCTCTGGATGTTAGCACTCTGAGAGGCCACTTGGGGGTTTATCCATGCCCTTGGGGGGGGGGAGGTCACATGAATAGTGCAAATGGTGACTGCAAGGAATATAAATCCTTCCATTCTCCACCATTCCTCCAGAACTGAAGAAGCTTCTTGGATGAGAAGTGAAACCTCTTCAAGGAAAAAGAAAGGAAGTCCAGTTGCCTTTTGAAAGAAAAAAAAAAAAACACCTTTGGGACAACTGTGATCTGGAGGACTGACCGTCTCCGTAGAGGTTATGACTGGCAGGAGGGTGGGCCCTTGGGACCCCCAGGCACTTACGGGAGCCGCTGTTCCACCCTCCGTCCTGCAGGATGCCGACACACATTTCGTTCCCCTGCTCCAGCGCCAGGTCGAAGGCCGTATTCCCATCCTGACACACAAAGGAAAGACGGAATCAGCCAGCGGGGGCGGCTGCCCTCTTTCTCCCTGCCGGGGCCTTCCTTCCAATTGCCCCCCACCCCCTCCTTGGATCTGGGCTCCCTATAAACTCGGGCAGGGGTCTCCAACGAAGCTGCCTGAGGAACTCTGGGAGTCGAAGTCCACAAGTCTCAAAGGGACCAAGGCTGGAGACCCCTGATCTGGGGAAGGGAAGGCGCCAAATCCACCATCACGACAGCCCCAAACCACCTTCATGCTCGGAAAGGTTTTGACATGGACCCTCCATGCCCCTTTAATCGCTCCCTTTAGAGGGGTGAAGTTGGGGATTATGGTTGACGGTTTAATCTTTTAAATTCCAAGCAGGATTTGCAGCGTGAAATACGACGCAGGTGGGAGGCCTAAATCACAAGAAATCCTTTTTTTAAAAAAAAAAATTACGGCTTGAGTTTTCTTTCTTCTGGCTGAAACAGGAAGTTTATTTATTTTTGGGTAACTTATCCTGCCTGGATCTCTCCCCACCCCCTCTACCACACACACACACACACACACACACACACACACACACACACATCCTAGGGGGAAAAACCAGGCAGAAAACAGACCCCATTTAAATGCTTGGGGGGGGGGGGATTTTCTCCCCGCCATCTCCTGTCTGGCAGAGACCAACCGAGGGAAACTGAGGGGCCGTGGGGGAGAAGCCCTTCAGGCCGTTGTGAGTTGCAGGGGTTGTGTAAAGGCAAAGGCACACCTGCCACCCCCTGGGGAGAGAAGCCTTTGGACCCACCTGGTCTTCTAGTTGGGGGTCTCCGCCCTGGGCCAGCAGGAGCCTCAAGCAGGCAGTGCATCCCCAGGAGGCTGCAACGTGGAGGGGGGTGAGGCCTTCCCCAGATCTGGGAGAGGAGAGGGCATGGGCACAATCTTCCTTCCCTTCCCTCTTTTCCCTCCCTTCACCTCCGCTCTTCCCTCTTCCAAGTTTTTGGAGCCCAGCTCTTCACCTGAGAAAGGAGCAGGGCCTCCCTCCCTCCCTCCGCTTTCCTTCCCTCCTTCCCTCCTCTCTCCCTCCCTCCTTCCTTCCTCTCCCTCCCCCTCCTTCCCTCTTTCCTTCCTTCCCTCCTCTCTCTCCTTCCTTCCCTCCTCTCTCTCCCACCTTCCCTGTTTCCTTCCTTCCTTCTCTCCTCTCTCTCCCACCTTCCCTCTTTCCTTCCTTCCTCTCCCTCCTCTCTCCCTCCTTCCTTCCTTTCCCTTTCTTCCCTTCTATTTCTATCCCTTTCCTTTCCCTTCTATTGCTGTTCCTCCCCTTCTGTTCTTCCTTCTCTCCTTCTGCCAATCTATCCTTCCGGATGCCCCAGTCCTGGCCAGAAGGCCCCCAACATCGCCTCCACCCGACCAGCAGCTTTGTGTCTTCGCAGGGAGGGGGGATCCCCCTCCGCCTACCTGACGTTGGGGTCTCCGCCGTGCTGGAGGAGGAGGCGGAGTCCACGTGTCCCATTCTCCTGCTCCAGGCCGGCAGCCAAATGCATGGGGGCCACACCCTCTGGCAGGACCAGGTTGGGGTCGGCTCCCTCCTGGAGCAGGGCAGCCACCATCCTGCAGAGCAGAGGGAGGGGGGCTTGAGGAAGGGGTGGGGGGTCCCCAGCAGGTAAGGCGAGCCCAGGCCCCACCTTCCCCTCACCTAAAGATAACTTTATGGTCGCTTTACACGGGCACTACATTAAAGTGGAATTTCTTTGCATAACAGCTCTAGGAAGAGGTGGGCTGGGGGGGGGGGCTTTGAGGGGGGGAGGAAGAGGAGGGGGAACGGGCTGCCCCTTTAAATGTTGGCTGCTCCCCAAGGAAAGATTTTCCAGCAACATTTTGAGGTTCCTCTGCCAGAGAGACTCTGGAGCAGGGCTGGCTCGGAAATTCTAGGAGTTGAAGTCAGTAGGTTGTAAAATTGCCATTGCTGCCCTACTGGGGGGTGGGGGGTGTCAACTAGATGACCTCTAAGGTCCCTTGCAATTCTAGAAGCCAGCAGTGAAGAAGAGCTGAGGGATTATGGTTCTGATTACACCTCACCCACCCACCCCAATGCAAGAAGAAACCCCCTCTTTTCAGTGAGGGAAGGGGTGCCGCTACCTAAGGCCTTTGTGCTGCACCCCCAAACTTGGCAACTTTAAGACTTGTGGACTTCAACTCCCAGAATTCCCCAGCCAACTGTGCCAAGTTTGGAGACCTCTGCCTTGGTGCCCTGCCCTAATTCCAAGTTTGGCCCGTCCTTCCTAACCTAACCCTCTAACCTAACCTCCTCGCTAACACCTGGGCAGGGAAAACCAAAGGTGCGAGACAATTAGGCGAAACCTGGCTCAGAAACAGGGACTGCGAGAGGGACCTTGGAGTCCTAGTGGAGGATCCCTTAAACCTGGGCCAGCCGTGGGTGGCAGCACCCCAAAAGCGAACACAGTCCTGGGTTGTATAAACAGAGGCACAGAATCAACACGAAGTATTAGCACTGCTTTATAAAGCCTTCATAAGGCCACACCTGGAATATTCCGCACCCAGTTTTGGTCCCCACATTACAAAAAAGAGGTTGAGACTTTGGAAAAAGTGCAGAGAAGAGCAACTAAGAAGATAAGGCCTGGAGACTAAACCATATGAAGAACGGTTGTGGGATTTGGGTTTGGCTAGTTTAGAGAAAAGGAGGGGGGACGTGGTAGCAGCCTTCCAGGACTTGAGGGGCTGCCCCAAAGGGGAGGAGGGGGCTAAAATACCAGAAGGCAAGAAACAACAGATGGAAACGAACCAAGGGGAGAACAAAACTAGAAAAAAATGAGAAATTTCTTCACAGTTGGAACAGTGAATCCATGGGAAAGCTTGCCTTCAGAATGTGTGGATCCTCCATCACTGGAGGTTTTTAAAAAGCAACTGAACAATCATTTGTCTGGAAGGGTCTATTGTCTCCTGCTTGAGCACGGGGTCGGTCTAGAAGACCTCAAAGGTCCCTATTCTATTCCAGCTCTATTCTGATTGATTGATTGAACCCGTGTCCCTGCCAGGGCTCCAGCCTCCCTGCGATCAACCCGGCCTGCCAATGCGCCTTTCTGCAGGTAAATGCAACCCCGGGCAGGGGGCGGAAGCGCAGCTGCGCCCGGGAATCCCTGGCAAAGCCAGTTTGGGGCCGCTGGGCCACCCCCTGTTCGGAGACCCGCTCGCCTCACTGCCAAAGGTGCAGAAGCCACGCGCGGCGGATCCACGAGCCACTTACGCCTCGTCCTGGCCCCGCAGAGCCCGGCAGAGCCGCGCCGCCAGCTGCAAAGCCCGGTGCTGCTTCATGGCGCCGCTAGGGGGCGGCCGCGGGGAAGGGAAGGGCGGCCGCGCCAGGCGCGCTTCTTCCCCAGCAAGCAGAGCGGCGTCTTGCATCGCCTCCCGGAGGCGGCGGAGCTGGGCGGGCGGTCCGTTGAGGTGGGCCGGGAAGCGGGCGAGGCCGGTCGCGTCAGCGCGTCCCGGCCCGGCGTAGCGAACTCATCTCGGTCGGTGGTCAGCGGCCATAGAGTTGCCAAAGCCGCGAAGTCAACACGGCGCCGCCATCTTGTTCCTGTCGTTTGAAGTTTCCCTCCCAGGCCTCCTCGGAGTTTTTCATTGGAAGGCCGCGGTAATACGTCACCGCCCATGGACTGCTTGCCTATCCAATCGGAAGAGCGCGCGCTTACGGGGATTGGTTGCAATCCCTACGCTCCCGCCTCCTTTCCCACCCTTCCTATTTCTTGAATGGGTTGAGACAGGACTGGTTCACTCGGCGTGAATTAATACCCAATTTCAACCAGTTATCTATTTTTTGAAAAATGTGATAAAAAAAGAACTGGTTGATTTAGTGACGCCCAATAAAAAAGAATTCAGATTCCTCAATCGGAGTGGAATTTCAGAAGCTGCGGTAGCATTAAACCCGGCAGTTTAAATAATATTTAATATTATACTGGATTTCTTGGAAAATAATTCTTTAAGTGTGCCTTTTGCATATATTTGCATTCACACTCTTATTTGAACTAGCATTTCTTGTTTTTCAGCCTGCAAACTTTAGTTCCCTATTTGCATTTGTTAAGTATTTAGCGGCTTCGCACTTATTAAGCCTCTATTGCCGAGGTCTCCAAACTTGGCAACTTTAAGGCTTGTGGATTTCAACTTCCAGAATTCCCCAGCCAGCATAGAATTCTGGGAGTTGAAGTCCACAAGCCTTAAAGTTGCCAAGTTTGGGGACCCCTGCTCTATTGCAGCCTAGGAATTCTAACATACTGAGGTGTGCAACAGCGGCCTAAATCCGTTTCTGTTTCTCAGCCCCTTGAAGATGGGTGGACTTCAACTCCCAGAATTCATGCTGGTTGCGGGATTTTAGGAGTTGGAACCCGCCCATTTTCAAGGCACCCAGGTGAGAAACACGGCCTTAGATGGTGACGATTGGAAAAAAAAATGGCTTCCTTAGCAATAAGTCCTCCATTTACAGCCACAATTGAGCCTAACATCTGTTACTAAGTGAGACAGCTATGTGAGTTTTGATCCGTTTTATGACCTCCCTTGCCATGGTTTTTAAGGGAATCTGGCTCCCCCACTGACTTTGCTTGATCCCCTCTTGCAAAAGAGGGTCATGTGACCTGCTGGTATTTTGCAGCCATCACAAATAGGAAACAGTTACCAAGCGTCCGAATTTCGATCATGCGGCCACGGAGATGCTGCAACGGTCGTACGTGTGAAAAACGGCCATAAGTCTCTTTTCTTCAATGCACCTGTAACTTCAAGTGGCCACTGAGGGAACCGTTGTAAGCCAAGGACTAGCTCTACTGGGCAGTCACACACACCCTGAGAAATTAGGATGTCCTCCTTTCAGAAGCCAAGCAGGACTGGGCAGAGGAGGGTCACGGTGGCCTAGAGGTGGAGCTCTCACCTCACCCTCAGAAGGCAGATCTTTCTCTTTCTCTGGGCACGCTGAGAAGATCTCTGCTGAACAGAACTCCTTATTGGCGACAGGAAGGGCATCCAGCCATGAAACAACTCTGCTAGTTCCACTCAGTTGCTGAAAAGATGATGATGACGAAGCAGAACTGGGCAGCCAGATGTAGGCATGGGGGTCATCCTTGCACGGGCCGACTCTGCTGCCTTGAAATACACCTTCCCAGTGGTGGGATGCTACCGGTTTGGACCGGTCCAGCCGAACCACTAGTAACCACCACCCCTCCCCCCACACACATCTGCCCCTGTGCTTTTCTTTATCCCCTCAGCTGATTGGTGCTGCGGGTCTCAGCTGCTGTGGGGAAAGCTCCACACAAGCCACGCCCACCGAACCATTTGAATCCCACCACGGCACTTCCCCCCCCCTCAGAACGTGTCCCGATTGAGGGAAGCCGTTCTACTACGCCAGCTGACGAGAGGCGCCAAGGGGAACCTTGAGGGTGTCCAGACTGCCATTTGCACAAGGCTGCGACTGGCCTCAGGCAACCCTCACTTCCTTTCGCGCAGTCTGGAGAAGGTGTGTGCCTTGTGTGGACAACATCCGGGGCAGCTGCCTGAAGCCACTGCAGGTCGGGTGGCCTTAGATATTAAGAAGAAATAAAACATACCAGCTGTGGAGTTGCCCATTCGGTTTATATGTTGCCACCTTCCGTTATTTAACAGAAGAGCAGAACGGAAGGGACCTTGGAGGTCTTCTAGTCCAACCCCACGCCGAAGCAGGGGACACTGACTAGGCCGTTTCAAATGGCTGTCCCGTCTCTTCAAACCCTCCGCTGATGGGGCTTCTGGGTTGAGCCCTCCTCGCTGACGGACCGTAGATCGTGACTGTCCATGGCTATGGTCCATGCTCTTCCGTTGGAGAGCCCCGATCATTGCGATTAGGGGCTGAAGCTGCCTTGGAAGGGCGGTGGAGTAAGCGGAAGCCGCCAGCCAGGTTGAGGGGAGCCGCATCTCCCCTTCTGGGCTTGGTCTTTTTCCCCCCGAAGACGACTGAAGCGGTGGTCCAAAATGGCCACCCTGAAGAGGAGGACTCAGCTGGACTAAGATTTGTGCAGGAGTGAAGAAAGAGGTGGATAACATCTGAGCCGGGACAATTGGGTGAAACAACTAAACAAAAAGTACCGCAGGATTAAGGTAACATGGAACTTTTAAGAAAAGAAAAGTGAGCGGCAAAAATGCAAAGGGACAGGGAAAAAAAAGAAGAACATAATTTTGACAGCTAAGCGGGGCTTCGAACCGGGAAAGGAAGAAGCCGGAACTAAAGACCTAATTAAATTGGATTAAAATATTTTGGCAATAAACAGGCATAAAATAAAGCTGGATTTAAGATTGTCACAAATAATAATAATAAAACTTACAAATTGGAGACTGGATTGCTTTGGAATATTGAGGTTCGAAAAACCCTAAATAATAAAATAGGGGGGAAAGGTGAAGACTTTGTATAATGGAGAGTGCCATCTTGTGAATAAAATCTTAAACAAAAGGGGAATCATCCTGTTTCTTTATGAACTTGTGTTGTTACAATGTTAAAGAAATATCGAAAGCAAGTAAGAATTTTAGAAAGTGAAAGCTGAACCAGAACAAAGGAAGAAGCAAGGAAAGACTGACTGTGGGATTGATTGATGTTTTTGGTATAGACCCTGGGCTGGAACAATTGAGAACTTTAGAAAACTTGAAGAAGAAAGAAGGAAAGTAAAAGTGTTTTTTGTGGATTTCAATGATTATAAACTACAAATGTGTGTAATGATGATATCTCTTCGGAATTTAAAAATGGAACTTAAAAATATGAGAGAATTACTACAGGAAAGAGGCGAATCACTTTGCTCTGTGTTAGGAAAAATGGAAATGGCGATTGAAGAACAAGAAGAAAGAGCTTCAGAGGAGGAGGAGTCGACTCAAGGAGAAGACATTTTAAATAGACAATTAACACAAAGAACGCTACAAAGAAGTGGGGAAAGAAGGAAGGTTAAAAAGTTGAGATTTAAGAAGGCAATCAAAAGGGGGAATACCTGTGAAGTCGGGAAAGGCAGAAAGACCCAGCAGAAAAGGGGAAAGGAAGATATCAAAGAAAGAGAGGGATATAAACTGGAATGAGAAAAGATATGGGAAAAAGAGGGGGAGGAGAGGCAGTAAGAAACAGGTGCAGGAAATAAACACACAAATAGTAAAATGATGAAAAGAAATTGTTTTTATAGAGATAATGGTTGATGAATTAAAAAGGGGATCCTGCAGGGTGACAAGGGGTAACAAGAATATATTTGCAATTAAAAAAACACTTAGAAAATAGGGTAATATAGATTATCAAAGAAGGGATAGATACTGATAACTCTTATTAGATGAATATACATTCTTATTTTTATCTTTTAAAAAAAAATTTAAGGTCTATTGAAGAAATGGTAATAATTGAAATGAATGTGAAGATGTTTAAAAATGAGGTCAATATCAGCGACCAGGAATTAAATAGTCAATTTTTTCCTTTTACTTTTTTGAAATTAGAAATAAAATTAAGGGGGGGAAATATATTGCGGAATCCAAATGAAAAGATGTAATGATTATTATTGTAACTACTTAAAAATAAAGGTTTATCGGGAATTAAGATGAGGGAATAAGGGTATATCTTAACCACTGAGATGTCACACTCAAAGCAGTAAAAGGGAGAAAACCTATGTTTGTTTCTTTTTCTCTTGTGTTAAAACTTGTATTAATGTAGAATTTATAGAATTTGTGATGAAAAGAAAATATGACAGATTAAAGAACTATTTAAATGCTAATACAGACTATTAAAAGGAAGGAGAGACATTGGTAACCTTTTTTTTTATTAGGCAAACATATATTATTTTTATTCTTAAAATAAATATTAAAGAATTATATTTGAAATAATTGAAATGAAATGAAAGGATGTTTGGATCTAGATTAATGTAAGAGGTTAGGATTAATTTGTTTGTTTTTCTCTTTTCTGAAAGTTTGGAATGGAAAAGGTAATAATAGAATTAAATATGCATATATTAATGTATAACTATTGTCATATTTGTATGTAAAAGTGATGATCTGGAAATATGTTGTCCACTAAAAAGAGCTTTCTGTTTTTATGTGAAAAATTGAATAAAACTTGTTTGAAAAAAAACCCTCCGCAGCTGGGATCATCCACAACCGCTGAAAGCAAGTCGTTGTCCCGATTGATCGATTGATGTCCCTGGAGTGAAACATGTTACAGGAATCCAGGCAGGGACAAAGTTCACCTGAACATGTTATGAAAACCCAGCTCTGTGCTTGTCATGGGCAGACCGCGAAAGGGGCAGAGGAGAGAAAACGGGAACTCCCAGGCTATACAGTCTGTCCTTGACTTGTGACCAGATGGGACCAGAATTTCTCTCTGCAGTTCTAAGTCGAATCTGATTTTACCACCATTTTAACAACATGGTGGAAAGTCATCAAGAGAGTTAGCGTGGTCATTAAGCAAACACCACGGTCATAACTGCAAACCCATTCTTCTGAACGGTCGTCTTTTTTTTTTTTTGCCAGAAACAGGCCATAAGTCTCAAGCACGTGACCGCAGGACACTGCAACCGGTCGTAAAGGTGAGACGGTTGCCAAGCATGCAAACTGCAATCATGTGACCATGGGTATGTGTGGATGCAATGGCCATAAATGCGAGGACTGGACCTTTTTCAGCACCGTCGTAACTTAGAACAGTCAAACAAACGTTTCTAAGTTAGGGACTTCCGTAAAGCGGTTGGGTGAAGCCAGACACACATCTGGAAAAGCAAAAGACCAAAAGCCAGATGATTTTCCCAAACTTTACTGGAATCCAGCTGAGCAACGCCGGATTCTTTCAACAGAAATCGGAAATCTGACTCGCAGGAAAGTAGGTCACATTTTTTTAATCCACTCCCCCCCGAACCCTCCGCCTTCCCTTTCCTTCCCCCGGAAGCAGCTCCTTCCAGCGTCCCACTTGAGGTCTCCTTTCCTCCTTTTGGGGGGGGGGTCCCAACCGCCCGTGCAAATTCCCCAGCCAGGAAGGTTACAGAGGAAAGGGAGGGTCTCCTCGCAGGGGCCCTCAACAGCTAAGGGTTGGGGGGGGGGGTCTCCCTGCTTCATCCCAGCCAGGGGGTGGCCTGCTCCCGGTTCACACCGGTTTACACGAACTGGTTAATTTTACATTTGGTTCATCAAACCGGTGGTTGCAACGACCGGCTGGCCCCGCCCACCCTGCCCCTCCCTTCCCAGGGGTCTCCATGTGGCCCGTTTTGGACCCCAGGTAAGTGCAGGGCCCGCCCAGAGGCTCTGAGAGGGGAAAAACAGGCCTCCCGGAGGCTTCGGAAGGCCTCCGGAGCCCGGGGAAGCCGTTTTCACCCTCCTGGAGGCTCAAGGAAAGCCCCGGGAGCCCCGGCAGGGCAAAAACGGCCCCACCACCACCGCCATGGTGCAAGAGGCTGACTAGGCCACGCCCACCATGGCCACGCCCACCCAGCAACTGGGCCAAGAACCGGTTGCTAAATTTTTGGAAGCCCCCCCTGATATTCCCCGGTCCCCCCCCCGCCCCCCACGATGCAACCAGGCGGGTCACACCACAGCCTCCATCTCTGGCGCCGCCGCCTCTTCCTCCTCCTCCTCCTCCTCCTCCAGCATGCTGTAGGAGGCGTGGGTCTGGAAGGGCCGCTGGAGCGGGTGGGCCAGCAGCTTGGCCATGCAGTTGTGCAGCTCCACAGCTGGGCCGCTGAGGGAGACCTCGTACTTGTAATTGGTGCCCTTGGCGTCCAGGTTGCTGAAGGCGGCAAACGTCTCCTGGGGGGGGGGCATGGGGGCAGGAGGGGATGGGGGGAAAGACGGGCAGGTGAGGAGGCCGGGCAGGGGGCACTCCTGGCCCACAACCCGGAAGGGCTTCCTTGGCTGCCCTCCAGACCTGGAAGCTTGGACCCCATTTGGTCAACAAGCCCCACCCGTGTCGAAGCAAAGATTCCCCTTCCTTGGTTAACAGTGGCTACTTTAAGACTTGTGGGGAAGGAAGGAAGGAAGGAAGGAAGGAAGGAAGGAAGGAAGGAAGGAAGGAAGGAAGGAAGGAAAGAGAGGAAAAAAGAAAATAAAGAGAAAAGGAAAGAAGGTGAATAAAATAAATATAAATAAACATGAAAGAAAGAAGGAAAGAGAAGGAAGGAAATAAAAATAAAAATAGGAAGAAATGAATGAAAATAAAAAGAAGAGGGAAAAAAGAAAAGGAAGGAAGGAAAATAAAAAGGAAGGAAGGAAGGAAAAACGAGAGAGAGAGAGAGAGAGAGGAAGGAAGGAAGGGAATAGAAAGACAAGAAGAAAAACCCAAAGGGCAAAGGTCCCCAGATGGGTGTGTCAAAAGTCTACACACACACACACACACACTAAAGAAAGCGGGGCCATTTTTCAATATATCTCTATAGCTCGTTGGGGGGGGGGGGGAAATGCTGGGAGTTGAAGTCCACCAGGCTTCAAGGGGCCCAGGTTGGAGACCCCTGGTCTAAAGCGTCCCTTGGGGGGAGCATGAAAGGGAAATAAACGAGACCCCAGGTCTGGATTTACCTTCCAGGTGACCTCCTCCTCCTTGTCCTCAGCCCCGTTGTGGATGTAGAGCACATCGAAGAAGAAGTAAGGGCACTGGAGCATTTTCTGTGGGGCAGGAGAGGCGGTCAGGAGGGCAAGAGGCTCTCAGCCCGTCCTCCCCTCCCCAGCCAGCCGTGGGGTCAAAGGGGGCTCTCCCTTTCCTTTTGAGGGGCCTTAACGTTTTGCCTCTTCAATCCAACCCAATGGCCTTTACCGGCTGTCTTCTTAGCACAGGGGTCTCCAGCCGTGGCCCCTTTAAGCCTGGCGGGCTTGCTGGCTGGGGAATTCTGGGATTTGAAGTCCGCCAGGCTTAAAAGGGGCCAAGGCTGGAGACCCCTGTCTTAGAGGCTCTCATTCACTCCCTGGGAAAAAGACTCAAAACTATCGGCACGGCAAAGGGGCCAACCTCAGCCCCCATTTCCTAGTCAGACAGCTGCTGCTCCAGGACTCACCGTGTAACGAGGCTAAGGGGGTCCGACTCCCCCTCCCCACCTGGAAAGAGATCCGCTCCAAACACAAGCAGAGGAGAGGAGAGTTCATTTCACAGCCCCAAGCAGCTTTAATCCAGAACAGTTGAGCTAAGCCACACCCAGGTTCCTTGCTGTCTCCTTGCTCACACAGCAAATACTCTTTCAGTTTCCAAACAGCCTTCAACTCTCTCCTGCACTGTCAGGACGCTAGCCAGATGAATCCTGATGGATGCTGGTAGGCAGAGGCACAATTTTTCCTCCCTTATTTTCCTCCCCAAAAACTAAGCCCAACCCCATAGTTTGGTAGTGAAGCACAAGTACCCTGCTAGTAAATCTATACTTTTGAGGAACACGCCTGCCTCGGAGTTCTGACAACCTACCTCTGTTGTAGGGCGATGCAGTCCCTGGTCACTAAGAGAGCCAGAAAACTACTCCTACCTCCTAGCAATGGCTGCAGACCTCAACGAGTCCCGCTCTACGGTCTCCTGGGGGTGCTGGGATCTAAGATCTGCTCTACGTCAACTCATAAAACATTTCTGTGGCCAACGGAAAGGGAGGAGGGAGCAGTGCAGCAGCTTGCAAACCGAAAGTGCATTCCATCAATGTTTTCAAAGATAGTTTCTAGGTGACTGAAGTTTTTGTGCCGTGTAAAATTCTACCTGATTGATGACTCTGGGCGATGGGTGTGTCCCATTGGAGAATATGGATTAGGATACACCCAGGGGGTGGGGGGGAAAACCAGGGTCAAGGGGGACAATGAATGATATGTCTCAGAGTCGGCTACACCCAGGCAGTGCTGGACATGTTAACTCCCAATAAATCCTTTGGAAGTTTGGCTCGAGACTCGTGATTTAAATGGGAGGTAACTGCCGGAGCCCTGACCCGCTACACAAGACTCAGGGGTACCACTGAAAACTGTGTGTCCCTCCTCCTCCTCCTCCTCCCTCCAGGAAGCGGGGCTCTTGTGAGGTCAAGAAAGCGGGCACCTTCATCTGGTCGGTCACCACCACGGGCGGCTGGCAAGCAGGACGGCTGTAGACCAAGATGGTCCTGACCACGTAGGGGGGAGGGATGGTCTGGATGTTCTCCGTCACCGGGAGCTCCGTCTTCTGCTGTCTGTCGAGAGAACCAGACGAGGCGGGGTGGGTGCAGGCCGGAGGACCCCAACCCCAACCTTCCCGGCTGTCACAGTCCCGAGGACCAGAGGCCTTCGGCTGGAGGACAGCAATGACCATAAGTCAAGGACCAGCTGGGCTGCAGCCCAACAGGGAGCGTCCTGGATTCTGAGCGGCGTCTCCAAGCGTTTCCTTCTCCAACCTTTGAGTCGTAGAAAGACCGATATTTGGGCTGCCGGGCAGGGCTGGAGCATCAAGGGGGGGAGGGCTGTCCTCCCCACCTTTGGAGACCCCCACCAAGGACCCCAGGGGGGTGAAGATCAAAGACTCACATCAGATTGAAAAGCCCTTCCAGATCTGAGCCGCAGCAGTTGAGGTCAATGCCTGGATTGAGAGCAGTCTCCAACCGTGGCTCCTTTAAGACTTTAAGGCCATTCTTTGCTGGCTGAGGAATTCTGGGAGTTGAAGTCCACACGTCTTAAAGGAGCCACCGTTGGAGACCCCTGACTCAGATAACACCTCCACCTGCGTCCACAATGCCAGGATCCCCCGCTAGAACCACCCCCAGTGGATAATCCTCAACCTACGACCAACATTTCCATTGCTAAGTGAGGCAGTCATTAAAGGAGATTCTGACCCTGTTTTTACAACCTTTCCTCCCCATCAAGTTAGTAACAACTCTCGCTTGTCAGAAGGTCGCAAAAGGGGGGAGTGTCACATGAAACCTCCAGGATCCTGCAACCGTCATAAGTACGAGTCAGTGACCAAGCATCTGAACGTTGACCCCAGGGATTCTGCAACGGTTGTAAGTGTGAAAAACGCTCCTTTTTCGGTTCCGTTGTTAAGTCACTAAAAGGAGGGTTGCAAATTGAGGACTGCCTGGACAATCCCAGCAAAGTGGGGGGCTGTTTGGAGCCCCTCCTTTCTCCACCCTTGAGGGTGGCCTTGCAGGGGGCTGGACTAGAAGACCTCCAAGGTCCCTTTGTTCGATTCTAATTCAACTGCAAAGGTGGCCAGATCCGAATTCTGCCAGGGGTCCCGCAAAGTGAGCCTGCCCTTGCCAAACGCCCCCGCCAGACGAGGAGGAGGAGCCCCGGGCCAGGCGGATTGGACCCAGAGACCGGCAACTGTCCAGTTATTATCAACGCCCCCTGTTTTTCTCCTCCAAATCGGATGAGGACATTTTCCTTCATTTGGGGGGATCCCCAGCAGAGGTCACCGCCCCCCCCGGCCCCCCCCCCCGCCCCCCACCCCCCCCCCCCCGTTTCTTCTGCCCCCCCCTTGTGAAAGGATACTGAAGGATTTGCACGGGATGGTCTTCAGGTCGTACAAGCAGCTGCAGACCTCTCTGGGCTCGGAGGTGAAGCCGGAGAGCTGCGGAGAGGAAGAGGAGGCCATGAGCACGGATCCCGTGGGATCCACAGGGATCCCAGGCAGCCCTTGGCTGATGACAGCGAACGAGCCTGGAATTATGCTCCAAAGTCGTGTTGGCCACTAAGCAAGTCACCCTGTGACTGTGCTCCACTTTGTGACTTTAGCAGCAGTCCTTAAGTTAAGTAAAAGCCGTTCAAGGAATCCGCTATCGGCCATGCGCACTTCTTGATGGAAAACAGAATTAAACACCAGTTTCTGCAGAAAAGGTTGCAAATCTGCGGGACCCTCCAAATGGCCCAACATGCCGGTCAGCAGCCGGACGCCCAAAATGCGATCCTGTGACGGTGGGGGAGGGGAGGGGGCACGCTGGGCCCTGAGAGCCCCGAGGACCCGCATCATCACAAGCGGCAAACGACTGGTCCTAATCTGAGCATTTCCTGCATAAGCGGTCCTCAGCTTACGACCACAACGGAGCCCCAAACATCGGTTGTTAAGTGAGACGTTTGAGTTCTGCCCCGTTTTATGACCTTTCTCACCTCTGTTGTTAAGCAAATCATTGCAGTTGATAAGCAAGTCAACTGGCTGCTAAGCGAACCTGGTTTCCCCCTTGACTGTGCTTGCCCGAAGGTTGCAAAAGGGGGGGGGGGGTCACAGGGCAACCCCAGGACACTGTGACCGTCGTAAACACGAGTCAGCTGCCCAGTGTTTTGCTCACAGGGCCATGGGGAGGCTGCAAAAGGTCCAAGTGTGAGAAACGCCCACAAACTTTTTTCGGTGCCATTGTAACTTTGAACGGTCACTAAAAGGATCTGCTATAAGTCGAGGACCACCTGGTGTATGTGAAAGCCAGAAAGCGGGAGCAGGAGCCGTTTGCAGAGCGCCCGGCCTCTGCCCCAGCGTGAAGCGGGTTTCCCACCTCCGTGGACTCAGCTGGGGAAGGAAGCTGCAAATACTTCCCTGCGGTGGAAAATCCCCATGTTAAACCCGCCTGACCCGGGTTCCAGGAAGCAAGCCAGGCCAAAGCCAAACAATCCCGGGTGTCACCGCTGGGAAGCCTTGGCGGATGGGCACCAGCGGGCACACATGGCCGGGCAGCTCCATTCTGAGCAGGCCGTCTGGGCGCAAAGAGGGCAGCGAAGGCAGGGGAAGCTGACCTGGCTGGAGCCCCCCTGGAGCTGAGGGTCAGGGAGGGGGGGAATAGAGATAGCTTGGATTTTGTAGTCAAAACAAAATATTCTCTCTTGGGAACCAAGGGCATCCTCACACCTGGCCAGAGGAAGGCGGACTGACGTCGCCAGGCAAGCAGATAGAGCTGGGATTGGACCAGGGGACCGACCGTTCTGAGAAAGAAGGAAACCTCTTACTTTGAGTTGGGCGAAAACTGCGGGAATCTTCAGAGTCGGTTTTCACCAGACCTGGGCCAATATGACACACCCCATAAAGCGATTCTTCCTTGAGGAATCTCCCTGCCTCGGAGTTCTGCTTGCTGTGGATCTTGCTTGATATTACTTGGAACCCTGACAGTGGGTGGGTGGGGGAGCGGGAGACACCCCCTCCAAGCGTACCCACCCAAGTGACATCGTTGTTCACCACCACCAGTGCAAACTCGTGGCTCTTGTCGATCTTGTGCTTGGTGCGGACAAACATCTCGATCATCTTCTGGGAGATGTTGAGGGCGTTGGTCTTCAGCCTGCCAGGGGGAGGAAGAGGAGGAGGAGGAGGCCCATGAGGCACCGCCAGGGAAATGCAGGTCTCGGAGCCCCGCAGAGACGCCTCAGGCTTCCTCCACCTTCAGAGACCCAAGAAAGCGGCTGGTTCCAGAGGGGACAAGGCCTGCCTCACGAGGAGACCCCCAAACTCCTTTCTGTGCAGCCAAGAGGACTAGAATCCTGACTGCAGGCCTTTGTAGCACCCCCAGGAGAGGCTGAGATGCCCCCTTTGGCCTGAAGCCGGGGCAGCTACAGCAAGGACCAAAAGGCCATCCTGGTTTGTCCTCCGTGCCTGGCCAGCCACTCTTCAAAGCCAGAGACGGCAGCGCCTCTCAGCCCAGGAGGATCTGCTTTGCTGGGCCCCAGGAAGCCAGCCAAGGGCCCTCAGCAACCCCCCCCCCCCCAAAAAAAGACCCCCTCCGGCCAAGGGAGGGATCCCGGCTCACCCGTTGAAGGACTCCAGCCTCGGGTGGGACATTTCCTCCGAGAGGTCCAGGCAGATGATCTGGGACAGAGAAGGAAGGAAATGAAACATGGGTGGGATTTATTCCTTTCAATCTCCATGGATCTATTCAGGTCTTT